AAAGATCCCTGCGTATCTGAAGAATGAAGCAATAGAGGGTGATTGGAATCAATTTCAATGGATGAAGGCATTTGCAATGAATCGGGATGAACCCTAATTTCAAAAGATACGAAATTAGGGAGAAAAGAAAGCTAACCGCTGAAGCAAGGCAGTTGGGGGAGAAAACAAAATTAGGCCAAGTGAAAGTCGTAAGCATAAATATCCGGCTTCTAATGATAAATATGAGTCAAGATGTGATAAAAACATTAACAGGGTTCCAATTATCCCCTTTCATTTAAATGGTGTTTATGTTATTTTCCCCCTTTTTTTAATGCAATTAGAATAAATAGTTATTATTTTAAAACATAAGAATTGGGTTAGCAATAAAAAGAAGTATAACCGCGCCAGGTAGGGATCGAACCTACGACCTTCTGCTTAGGAAACAGACGCTCTATCCACTGAGCTACAGGCGCTTCTTTGTTCCATCCATCTTTTTAACTATATGCAAATCTTTACTAAATTCCTATAGGTAATAATTGTATATTTTAAACCTTTTATACATATATCTTAATATAACAGAAATGTTTTTAAGAAAAATAAAGAGTTGAGTCATTACGATTCGATAGGAATTATCGTTTGGATATAAAGTTATAGAATTTTGATAATAACTAAGACGAATAATCCCCTAAAAATAGTCGAGGGATTCAATAAAGAATTGTCTATAGTTTTGGGACTATTTGTATATTTTACAGTAAAATTTAATAGTTTTTTTTTAAGTGAAAATTGAGAGAGTGAGTGTGTAAATATAGGAGAGATTCCTTGTGAATGTCATGAGGTTAGTTTTTAGCATTTGCTTTGATATTTCTAAGAATAACAAACTTCCAAAGATAAACCATGTTATTGCAAAACCACCCCACAAAATTCCAGTGGCTAAAAATCAATCTTTTGTGAAAGAATTGGAAATTGGCATCCCTCAAAACATGAAGACATGGAAGAAGATTAGTTAATTCATTTTGGGGGCAAGCGGGAATGTTCATCATCCAAGAACTTTTCAAGTTCAATGTTGAAGGAGAATTTTGTTTGAACAACAAATTACAAAGTTTTTCTTCATCCTCTTAGTACTTGAAAAGCCTTGGATAATAATAATAATATGGCTGTGGAAGGTAATATCATTTCCAGTTATTTCTCTTGTTTTCCTATGGTTTTAATCAAAGATGCAGATTTTTTGTTGTTTGTGTTTTTGTTAATGCAGAGACGGTAATGGCAGAAAAGGAATGGCCGAGAGGGGTGTTGCAGAATCCTGGGGTTGGATCAGATTCAGAAAGAAAGAGTTGCAGCACCACTTCAAGCTTACCAGTTCCTTCCCAAAAGAACATCAACCTTGATTTTAATGGTTTCCAATTCAAGCAAATATTTGGAACCATCAAGAAGAAAGCGCCCATAAGTTTCTCAATCTTTCCTTTGGCCACCACTTATGAGGTTTCCAGGAAGAACGTGATGAAGAAAATTGCAAAACTTTATGGCACCGAGGTAGATGATGACTGCTGCATCCCCAATGTTAAACCTTCATGGAAGAATTTTACTTACTCTGAGCTTGCTGCTGCTACTGATAATTTCAGTCCCGGTAAGCAAATTATTCACATCTTTAACCCCATTTTTTTATATTATATTTCATGGAAGAATCTTTGATTTGCATTGTAAAACACAATATAGATAAGTTGCTTGGAGAAGGGGGAAGTGCACAAGTATACAAAGGGATGTTATCTGATGGTCAAGTTGTTGCGGTGAAGAAGTTCATCAAGAATGAAAAGGAAAATGAAGAGAGAGCCACTGATTTGCTTTCAGAACTTGGGATTATTACTCAAATTAATCACCCTAATGCAGCTCATTTGATCGGTTACAGCATCGATAAAGGCTTGATTTTAGTCCTTCAATTTTCCCCCCATGGCAGCCTTGCTTCTTTGCTTTTTGGTACTGTGCCATTGCCATTTGCTATTGCCGTTCCCATTGCCATTGCCATTGGACTAATGAGGAAATGTTGATGCGCTACAGGTTCAAATGAGGGCCTTGATTGGAAGAAAAGGTTTAAGGTGGCTCTTGGTATCGCAGAAGGATTGAAATATCTCCATCACGAATGTCCGAGGCGAATCATACATCGAGACATCAAAGCATCCAACATATTGCTCACCGAAGATTACGAAGCTCAGGTACTGCAAACTTTAAATGCGCTCCGGTATGAATAGATTTCTATGGAGTCTAATGTAATGCTTTAGGATTTCATCGGTTCAATGCAGATATCGGATTTCGGTCTGGCAAAATGGCTCCCGGAGAATTGGCAACACCATGTGGTCGATCACATTGAAGGAACATTTGGGTAATGGCATCCATTCCTTTTAATTTCGTCAGTTGATTTTGTCATTGGTATTGGTCATTCTCATAACGTTGGCCCCAGGTATTTAGCACCAGAGTATTTTATGCACGGCATTGTTGATGAAAAGACCGATGTATTCGCATTTGGAGTTCTATTATTAGAGATAATAACAGGTCGTCGTGCCATTGATACATTGTCGCGACAAAGTCTTGTCATTTGGGTACATCTTTTGCACTGAAACTCATTAAAATTAGCAAAACATGATCCGATCCAAATAACTTATTTTTTGCTTCTGATTTACAGGCAAAACCGATGCTGAAATCGGGTAATGTTAAAAACTTGGTGGATCCCCTACTTGGAGACAATTATGATCCAACTGAAATGAAACGTGCAATGTTAATAGCTTCACTGTGCATTAGCCACTTAGCTTCCATGCGACCGAGTATGCAAAAGGTAGCAAAAAGATGTCGGAAACATGTTCGGATATTTCCCTCAAAATTCATGCCGGAAACTTTGATTTTCAGGTTGTAGAGATGCTTAAGGGCGAAGAACAAGATGCTCCAGAGTATCAGCCGAAGAGTTTTGGAGAAGAAGCAATAATCATAGAAGATTGTGACGCTCAAGCTTATAATCGAAGCAGCTATCAAAATGACTTGAATCGTCATATGCAGCTAGTTATGGAGTAATGGATGCTTGATGTTGCTGCTGTTTTTGTTAGTTTTTTTGAGTGAGAGATTCAATCCAATGGACTACGGCCTTGCACTTGCAGGGTGGATAAAGTCCCCATTGAATCAATTCGAAACTGTTTGATCTTCAGTATTTTTTTCAGCTTCCTAAACTGGCTTTTATTTATTCAACAGCCATTCAGACGCTGCAATGATCTGAAGAAACTATCAGAAATCAGATGCAAATGATCCATTTTTTATTAGTTATTTGTTTTCAAAAAACTCATGTTATTAATGGAACCCCTAGCATATAAGATTGTTGCAGCAACACAATATCACATGATTTTCAGAATAACTTCAAACCTTCCTATATGTACATGTTAATATCAAACAATCATTATTTATTTTACTACCAAAATAATTAAAATTTAAAGAAAAAATAATTAAAAATATTAACTATTTAATTAATAAATTTTCATCCTTCAAACAAAACCTTAGAGCAACACTTTGTGGTCTTGGAATGGACATGAAACGTTGAATAACACTCTGCAAGAAAATGGAATGAATTTTGCCAATTTTAGCATGTTGCTCATCTTTTAACATTTGAAGAAGCCTTTGGCAAGACCTTAGAAATATTGAATCCAGGTTTTCTGATTACCCTTGGATATTGGGAGGTGACTATAATGCCACTATGTATCCTAATGAAAGCTCCAACTGTGGGCTTCTGGGTCCTATTACCTCCCCTGACATGATTGACTTCCAAGAACTCTTTCAAGATCTTCATCTACAAGATCATCCTTATTTTGACCCTACTTTCTCTTGGAGTAACAAACAAAGTGAGAACTTCCTTGCTAAAAAAACTTGATAGAGTGTCATTAACTCTCAATGGTTTGAATCTTTTTCTAATTCCTTTGTGGAATTCCTTGCCCCTGGACCTTCTGATCATTGTATGGCTATGGTGACTCTCAACAAAGGTATCCAACTAAACAAGCCCAAGCCTTTCAAATTCTTCAACTGTTAGACCCTTTCACCAAAAATTCTTAGACACTGTTAGGAATTCTTGGCACCAACCTTGTTATGGTAATCCTATGAAGAAGCTTTTCCTCAAGCTTAAAAGGCTTAAAGTTTGCCTAAAAAATATTAACAAGGATTACTACAGTGATATCTCTGCTCGAGTCAAAATTAAAAGGGAAGAGATTGAGAAACAACAAATTCTTACTCTTAGAGGTATTGAGCCAATTTATAAAGAGATCGATTTGCAAAGGGAGCTTAATTCACTCGAGGAAGTCGAGTCTATGTTTCTTAAAAAAAAGCTAAAACTCATTGGTTGAAAGAGGGGGACAAGTGCTCCAAATTCTTTTATTATGTCATATCTACCAAGAACAAACGTGACACCATAAGAGCCTTAGTTGATGACCAAGGCAGAAGGTTGGAATCATTTGATGAGATGTCCTCTAAAGCTATTAATTTTTTCAAAAAACTTTTGGGTTCCTCATACCCTGAAGTTAAAGATTATTTTGATAGTCTTCTAAAAGGTTTGATGCATCATTTTCGTTCCCCTGAACACTACGAGGGGCTCACTAAGGAAGTCTCCATTGAGGAAATTAAAGAGGCAATTTTCAATCAAGGTAATGACAAAGCTCCTGGTCCAGACGGTTATACTCCTCTTTTCTTTAAGAAATCATGGACTGTGATTGAAGAAGATGTGACTGAAGCTATAAATTATTTCTTTCAAGAATCTTTCATCTTTCCTGCATTCAATGCTACTACTATAGCTTTAGTTCCCAAACTCCCCAACCCTTGCAAAGTCTCGGATTTCCGCCCTATATCTTGTTGTTCTGTTATATACAAGTCATTACTAAAATCATTGTGAAGAGGATCTCTCATTTAATTCCTATGATTATTTCTCCTAATCAAACCGCTTTTGTCAAAGGGATGAGTATTGTTGATAACACCCTCCTTGCTTAAGAAATTGTGAAAGGGGGATGAAGAATATTTCTCCTCGGTGTGCTCTTAAAATTGACCTTCAAAAAGCTTTCGACTCTATTCATTGGGGCTTCATTCCTATCATCCTCAATGCCTTAGAGTTTCCAAGTAAACTCATTGACTGGATTTCTGCATGCTACTCTAATGCCTCCTACTCCATTGCATTTAATGGAAGTTTGGTTGGTTATTTTAAATGAGCAAAGGGTCTTAGACAAGGAGACCCATTATCTACTTTATTGTTTGTTCTTGTCATGAATGTTTTATTCAAACTCCTAAATAATGCAGCTGAAAGAGGAATATTTAGCTTTCATCCAAAGTACAAGAAAATAGGCCTGACTCACCTTACTTTTGCTGATGATCTGTTAATTTTCTGCAAAGGTAACCTTGAATCTGTCATGGGAGTTGTTTTTGTTCTTGATTATTTCTATAAGCTATCTGGGCTTAAACTTAATGCTCTCAAGTGTGAGATCTTTACAGCTGGCATCTCTGTTCACTCTACTCAAAATATCATTAACTTTTTTGGTTTCCAACATGGGCTCCTGCTTGTCAGATACTTGGGAATCCCCTTGGTCAGCAGAAAACTCTCTATAAAAGACTGCTAGCCTCTTATTGCTAAGATTCAAGCTAAACTTCACAAATGGTCTAGGATGAAATTGAGTTATGCGAGCAGGCTTGAACTTGTTAAAACGTCCTCTTCAGCGTTGCCAATTATTGGTGCAGGCAGCTTGTAATGCCTCAATCCATCATCAACAAAATTGAGCAAGTATGTTCTAGATATTTCTGGAAAGGGTTAGATATTCCAGCTACAGGAGCTCGTGTTAGTTGGGACACAATATGCACTCCTAAGTCTGAAGGAGCTTTAGGTCTTAAAGACATTAAAACCTAGAATATAGTGTGCATTATCCACCTTATCAAAAAAATCCTTGCCGAGGATGGCTCATTATGGTCGCATGGATTCATTGTTACATAATAAAGCATTCTAACTTTTGGTTCATGGATGAACATTCTTCTTGCAGCTAGAGTCTCAGGAAAATTATGAAGCTTCGAAGTGTCGCTCATCCTCTTCTTTCTTCAGGAGTTACTAGTACTAAATATATTTGGGAGCAGATTTGACTGAAAAACAACAGTGTTCACTGGCAGAAACTCATCTGGTTTCCCCTTCACATACCGAAGCACAACATCATTTATTGGATGGTAGTTCTAGATCGTCTTCCCACCAAAGAAATGTTGCAAAGGTTCGGTCTAGTCACAAACGATCAATGCATAATCTGTTTTGAAGGTAGCGAAACTAGAAACCATCTTTTTACATAATGCAAAATGTCTTCTTCAATTTGAATTCCATTCTACTTCTTTCAGGCATCAGAAAACCTCTTTTAACTTGGTCCAATCTTCTGGTTTGGGCTACAGCGAAATTGAAGGGTAAATCTTTAATTACTGTCATTCTCAAACCGTCTTGGTGTGCATTCATCTACACCATTTGGGAGAAAAAATCGAATGATTTTCAGAGGCATTAGCATATCAGAGGATGATATTATTATATTAATTAAGCATGCTATAGGTTTTCAATTAAGCAATAGAACTATCAATAGATTAGATAACACTAATTTATATCTTTGTAATTAATGGGGTATAGTTTGATTTTTTTTATTATATAGGTTCCCCTTGTTCTGTTCCTTTCACTGGATTGATTTTTTGTAGCAGGTTCCTGCTTCCTTTTTGGATAATAAAATCTTGCTTATCCAAAAAAAACATTTAAATACAAAAATACTTTATAAAATCCAGCCTTCAAAAGAGGGGCTCAGTGGGAACATGTCGCCTGTTGAAACTAAGTTAGCTGAATTGCAAATTATTACTTGGTAAAACACCGGTTGGGTCATTTCAGCAAGGATGGTGAGGCCATAAGAAAAACTGATCAGCCACTGCTACGACATTAAGGTCATTGGGGTGGCCATTGTTGAGGAAGAACCAGGGGATCGCCGAAAAATAGCGGAAAATTTAATTTTTTCGTAAAACATGTAAACTCATAAAATCATTTATGAATACAAAATAAAATTTATCAGTATTCGAAATTAAAACAAATTTTCAGACTCTTATATAAAACAAAATACAATTACATGCCCCCTAATCACATGTATCATACTCTGCAAGCAATGCCATAATAACTCCCTTATTGATGTCGATAGTTGTACTGGTACAATTCTTTTAACATGTAATGGTGAGTAATAGAGTGAACTTCAGAAAGCTCAATGATACAGAACTACCAGGTGATGCTATATGACATGCAGATAAATGGGAAGCCATAATTTCCTTATTGAATCAAACGTATACCAGTTTGCAGGATAATCTGGGGTTCCATTAGTAGTTCATCGAGTAGAAACCATGAAGATCACAGTTCATAAGAAGCATTCATAGTAACATGCTTTCATTAGGTCAAATAGGATGTCTAGTATGTTCCAATCAAAACAGTGAATCAAAACCAGTGAAAAGATATAATTCTTTTAAAACCATAGTGGAACCCTCCAACCAAACTCCATTATGCAGTTCCTCAGAACTGCATCCGTAGGGCTTCCCCTCAGCACACAGCAAAAAGGGGAGCCAACCTAAGGATATACCTTGGGGCTTATGGGCCTACCCAAGGGTATCCTTAGGTCCATAGGGTTACCCTAAGCACACAGCAAAGGGAACCAACCTAAGGATATACCTTGGGGCATATGAGCCTACCCAAGGATATCCTTAGATCTGTAGGGTTACTTAAGCACACAACAAAGGTAACCAACCTAAGGATATGCCTTGGGGCCTATGGCCTACCCAAGGATATCCTTAGATCCGTAGGGTTACCTTAAGTACACATTAAATGTAACCAACCTAAGGATATGCCTTGGGGCCTATGGTCTACCCAAGGGTATCCTTAGATCTGTATGGTCTTACCAGTTGGATCAGAGCTGTGGCTCAATACTTCAGAATCCTATCCATATAAAAATCCAGTAGAAATCAGTTTAGCTGTAAATCGTAATACGTGGATCATGATCCAGTAATATGTCACAATCGTGTTAATGAAATAAATTGTATAACCAATTTTCACCTGTACATAATAAGTAGTAAAATAATTAACCCAAGGAAGTACCTTGGGGTCTGAGAGCCTTCCCAAGGATTTCCTTAGGTCCGTAAGAAATTTCCAGCTTGATCAGAGATATACCTCCAATCTACCCATATAATATCCCAGTAAAAGTTCGTGTATAATCAATGAAACATAAAACCATGGTTCATAAATCAATAGTTTCTGTGATTCCATATATCAGAAACAATTCATATTTTTCGATAAAAAATCATAATCATATATCACATACCATGTCACCATGGTTCATAAACCAGTAAACCAATACTTGCATTAAAACTCATTTCAAAACATATAAAACCGTCATGTAGTACATATGGAACACACTAGAGGATCCAAGTATTTTTCAGAGGCGTTTTGTAGTTATCAGTATGGATAACATGAATTTGTGCAATTTGCTCAGATTATAGGAATGATGTCCTATTGAAGAGAATCAATTACTAACCGATCTAGTTAGACATTTAACGTTGATACTTCAGAATCCCTCTATGATTCATATGCATCAGGAAAGTGTTCAGGTATGACCGAGTGATTTGAGCTGATAAATGAGAAATGAAGATTCAGGGCACTTATCATCCATGTGAATCGATCGGATTATCGATTAACCCCCCAGAACTGATGTATATCAATTGGTCTATTCATTGCCCTTCCATGGTATTCACTCTTTAATACCAAAATTCTTGTCTATATATCATCTTCAGAATCATCGTTGAATACATCTTAAGGAAGCGATAGGGGATCCAAATAATCTTTACTTTTTCCACATGGCAACAATATCATTAATTGTCAACGTATTTAATTCTTGGTTCATAACCAATAAGAATGGTACACTATGTAAACTCATCAGAGTTTTCATACTTATCCAAATCACTTACCTAATCCTCAGTCGTTGAGGTTACTTCGTTCATTTAATAGTCAAATCTATCTCATTTGCTTCAAAGTCTTCCCAAGTAATTCAGACACTTCTGAGTTTCAAATACATGTTGTACTTCCATTCAGTTCACTTTGGTCATATACTAAAATCATTTTGGTATTCATGGTTGAATTATCCAACGAATATCAACTTCTTAATATCGAATGCGCTCTAGCGTTGAGCTGAGTACTTTCATAATTATCATCAATCCAAACTTGAGGAGACGAACAAGCATTCAAGTGATACATATGCCATTCAAGTACTGAGACCGACCTAAGTTGCGTTCCATAACTTTTAAGAGCAGTACAACAACCTTGTTTATCTAAATTCCTTAATTAACTCAAAACATTTATTTAGTCTAGACCATAAGGCATTTTGGTCATTTTGGTGCACAACGTTTTTCCATTCATTTCAAAGCTTGAGGATATCCATTAATTCCTGGGCTTGGTGATATTTTTGAGTCATTTCCATTACAGGGGTATTTTATTCATTTTACAGATCTAGTGTATTTCAATCTTTTCCTTCCATATGATCATATTATTTACTTCAAACTTATCATTTACTTCAGTCATTTCAAACAATTCTGACAAAAGAGCACCATCTATAAAATATTCTTCATGTACTTACTCAACTCGGAGATTTCCAAGTTAAATGCCCTCTCAGATATTACTAATGAATTATCAGGAATATTTCATACAAAAATAGGATCTCAACAATTAAATCAGTAATTTATCAATTTAAATACAAATTCTTAGGTTATTATCTAATTCAGAGTCAACTAGGACTATTTTTACCTCTTAAGGGCATTTTCGTAATTTTATAACCAGATAATTTCGGTGTTAAATTCTTAACAAAGATAATATAATTTAGAGATCCTAAGGTTAATTGTTTTCCCAGATAATCTCTGAACTTGAAATTATTTCTTATCAAACTTCCAGAGTCGATTATTATCTTTTTTACAACTTAAGGGTATTATCGTAATTTTACCTAATCAAAGTATTCTCATAATTTATTGCTTAAACTGTATTTAGTTCGAGTCCATCCATAATCAAACAGGCATCATAGTTCAATCATATACATCCATGCATTTTTACCATTAACAACATATTCTATAAAGCATAAAGAGGTAGTAATATATTACCTCGATTTTCGTGCCATGCTGATCGACCATATAAAATTCATTTGAACGCCTCTGATCTTGAAATCATCTCACAATAATTCATCAGATACATATTAACAGAAATTACATAAAAACGGAGCTTAATTCTGGAAAACAATCGAATCGGGTGATAAATCAGTGAAAAACAGCTTATCGGGTTCAAATTTTGCAAAACGGACCCAAAAAACGGACTCAGGACATCGAAAAACGTCAGGATAGGTGTACCTGAAAAAAGTAAACGGCCACTAAATAGTCGGCCAACGCTGGTCAAAGTTCTAGTCAACGGCGGTCAGCGGGTCGGGTCGGGTCGGTCAATCTTATTTTCTTTCTTTTTGTCTGCTGCCAGACGAAGCCCACTCTCAGGGGGTGGCGCGTGAGGCACGTGAACAGTGTTACTGTGTCCGAAAAATTTCTAAAAATTATTTTAAGGCATTTTGAGACATTTACCAAGCTCGGTTCAAAATTTTGAACGGCGAAGAGCTCGATTTCGGAACATCGAAAACTATGGCTTTCTCACCCCTCCCTCCACGCGCCAGCGACGACGGAGACACGGATGACACCGGTGAACTCGGAACGATGCAAGGAATACGATGGTGCGGGAAGTGTCGAAAACGGGTGATCGGATCGACGTGAATCGATAAAAACCAACGAAAATCAAGTTAAAATCGACGATACTTCTGACTGAAATTAACGACGAAAGATTTGAAGGGTTTTGTTCATCGGTCGATAACGAACACGATTATAATTTGGATTCGTCAAACGGTGATCGAACGATGACAGAATCAAAATAGAGTTGAAGGAAAGAGGAATGAAAACATTTCTTGCAGAAACAAACGGGAAATGAGTTTATATTTTCAACATATAAAAAAAATGATTAAACTATGAATTTAACCCCTGA